TCTGCATAGATCTTCTTTTCCTCCATTCTGATCTTTGTATCTACACTTCTTTTTAAGATAGCTTCTTCACGTAATATGTTTATAACTGAGTATTATATCTGCATAGATCTTCTTTTCCTCCATTCTGATCTTTGTATCTACACTTCTTTTTAAGATAGCTTCTTCACGTAATATGTTTTTGGGTACAGCATATGATTTGAAAAAGTACAAACATACACAAGTAACATGTAACTCTAACAAATATGTGTTTGAAAATTCACATGCCACATGGGTCCGCACTTTAAACTAAGGAGTCCTGTGGCTTATTTGCCTTATTTCCTGGTTTAGTGAATGATTGTGATTTACTATGTGGCTAGCAGTAGCTCTCTTTGTTTTGTCAAAAAGCTATGCTTAAAAGAGACATTGTCACATGTTTATACATCACATAATGATGTATATTTTCTCTTAGTATGCAGGCAGTTTAGAAATCCCTTGTGCAAAAGAAGTTTAAAACAGTATATGTTAGAAAACAAAGTGCAGTTTTGTCACTGTTAACCACAGATCACATATTTCAACTATACATGTTAGTATAATATTGCTGAATTGAGGAAATAACAATGTTCAGTATGAATTGTACTGAGAGTGGCTTACAGAGGAGCTGGAATGAATGCATTTAACTTCCAGTAATTCCAGACAGAAATAATCTCAGAGCCATCTCTACTTCCTTCAGATGCCATTCAAACTAGGTTGCTGGACAAAACTTCCAGAGGTCTATTTACAGCAGTGTTTTTTCAAATCTGGCAACTTTAAGATGTGTGGACTTCAACTCCCAGAATCCCCCAGCCAGCATGAGGAATCCTGGGAGTTGAAGTTCACACATCTTAAAGTTGCCAGATTTGAAAAACACTGCTTTAAAGGCTGCCAACTGTGAATGAAGGTCATAAATGTACAATAGAAAATCATCATTATCATAGAATTACAGACCTGGAAGGCCATCTTGGGGGATGTGTTTGTACAGAAATTTGTGTTGTTGGCTGGGTTTGCCACCATGGGTTTTTTTCCCCTTAATTTATCTTGCATTTTTATCTTGTTTGCTATATTGTGAGCTACCTAGAGTCAGTCTGCAGTAGGGGAGTGCCTAAATCATTCACTCAAACAAATAAATTTAGGGCATTGAGGGAACGAAATTAAACCATCCCAGACAGCTGGTCGGAAAGGAGCCCATCACCCTCTCTTCTGCTATCAGATACCCTTACAGTAAGGACAGTTTTCCTAACATTGCATTGGTACAGCTTTTTAAAATATTAAATCCATTATGGCCAGCGTGTTTAAAAGCTGGCGGTGTTGGCAGCTTTTAAACATGCTGGCCATCCTTTTGCCACTAAATCTATTTGTTTGAAAAAATATGCCACTGGCCTTTTCTGTCTCCCTAATTCTTGGGTCAGTACTCCTGCTGCAATCCTTTTATGCTTGTGTACATATAACTGAAAAGGTTTATTTAAGTTTTGAAGTCCCACAGCTGGAGCTTGACTCACCTTTTCTTTGATGGTTTGAAAAGCTCTTCTGCAATCCCCAGTCCACTTGAAGGGATCGGAATCCCTTCCTCGGGTGGCCTCATATAATGACTGTGCAATTACCCCAAAGCTTGGTATTCAAATCCTACAAAAGCCTGCCACCCCAAAAATCCTCTAAATTGTTTTCGATTCCTAGGCTCCTTCATCTGGCAAATTGCCTCTTTCCTTTCTGGCAAAAGTTCTCTTTGGCCTTGTGAAATTGAAAATCCCAAATACGTTACTTCCTATATCGCTATTTCTGCCTTCTTTTGGGACACTCAGTATCCTGCCTGTCCCCAAAAGTAGATCAGTAGTCCCTTTAAGACAGCTTTCCTGGGTGTACCCCCTCAAAAGCAGATCATTCACATATTGGAGTACTGAACTTGCTGCATTTGCGGAGGTTGCCATTTTTGCAAGTCAGTGGCCAAAACTGTCCCAAACAGAGTTGGATTGTTTTTAAACTCTTGTGGCAATACCATCCAGTACACCTGGGTGTTTCTGCCTGAGTCTGAGTCCTCCCATTCAAAAGCAGTAATAATAAGCAACAATCCTTTCTAGCCCCAATTTGATGGGATATTGCTTAATGCAGGGTACAGGCACACCAGGTTTTAGTTGGAAATCTACTGGAATAGCATTCTTTGCTCTCCCTGGCTTTTCTCCTGCCCATACCCACATTACCGCAGCATCTAATACTTCATCTGGAATTTGGAATTTTTCATCTCCTTGAGTTCTTATCAGAGCTGCTTTAAGCCTCCATCCCTTATGCTTGGGAATTCGAAGGACCAAATTTTCTCCCTCAGAATGAATTTGAGCTTGTAATTTTTGCAACATGTCACAGCATAAAAATGGAATGGGGCATTCAGGCATATACAAAAATTTGTGTTGTAAATTCTTTCTCCCAACTGAGAAAGGCCTGTCTCCCCATGGCACCTACAATCGGGACTGAATTCTGACCCAAGGGTGCACAGGGAGAAGTCGTAACTGAGTGTGTAGCCCTGGTATCTACTAAAAAAATCAATAGGGGTTCTTCCCACTTGTATTGTTACTAGGTAAAGTAAATCCTTAGCTAGTGTATCTATAACATACTGGCCCTTATGGTTGGGAGGTTGAGAGGTGCTGAAGGGTCAGTGCTGCTAAATTAATACTTCCAATGTATTTCCATATTTTCTGCCACAAGTTAATCTATTGGTATATGCCAATTGGTGAAAAAATATTGAAATCTCATCTCCCCCCACCCCCCGCAACAAAAATCTCTGTGCGGTCTCTCAGAAGCTGCTTCCCTTGAATTTCAAGAGAACAGTCCTCACTGCTGGTGCTGGAAACCTCCCTTGCAATGCAAATAAAGCTTCTATGTAGTGGGTAAAAAAAAGAAAGAAACAGCTTTGACTGAATTTGCTATTTGCATAACTGAAAATGTGCACTTGAACTGCATACACACAATTAATTTCATATCTAGTTTGGCCCACAGAGACTCAGCAGGTGTAATCTAAGGTTCATCATATATTTTTAACTCTTTGTGTTGAATATTTAATGATTAAGCAATCAGCAGGAAATTACAATTGTATGGAAGAGCACTAAGCAGGCAAAACGAGATTTTAGCAGCCTCTGAAATCCACATGCTCCAAAATTAAAAGTGCCGTTTTATAACTGGAACTAAGAGTCTCCGGGGCTACCATATTAATTTGGAAGAGTCTCATTAAACCACCAATAACAGATTCATCTGAAATCATTCACCCAGATGAACCCATTTGTTTTTCTTCTTAATCAGCAGGGCATTGAAGCACACAAGAATAGATTAATTCCTCTTCCTAAAAAGGCAGGATCAAATAGTCTAGGTTTAAATTCCACCCAAGTAATCCCCCCTCCACCCCCAATCTTTTGTGTTTGAAAGGTTCCTCAATTGCTCCTCGATTCAGAGTTTTCTCTTAATATGATTAGATAGGCATTTTTTCTCACAAAATAAGAGATTACTAAGAATTCAAGTATAATTTATATTGATTACGAAAAGATACACATGGAACTTAGAGTTTAATTTGTTGGATCCAGAACTTTTATTGTTCACTAAAGAATATGCAGTACTTTGTTTCAGCACTTTGTACTGGTCTGGTCTGTTTATCTCAAGGGCAAAGTCCTGGGAACAGGAGTTTCATCCAAACCCTTTCCTTTTGCTTTGTCTTGAAAAAGCAGTGCTATCTGTTCCTTGTTTCTCATCCAGAAATTACACAGATTATCTCCACTGCGCTCCTGCTTGTCAGATGATATGGCAAAAGAACTGGAAGAGATCCACCAACCACTACAAAGGTGAACAAGAAAACCCATCGGCAAAGTAGGTGTTAAATTCTTCCACCTTCTCTTCTGAAACTGACAGTGCCTCTGGAACTAGAAGTGCATCTGCTCTTGCAACTATAGTGTCTTTAGTATGAATATTGTACAGGTAGTCCTCAACTTACAACCACAATTAGGACTGGAACTTCGGTCGCTAAGTGTGAGAGGAAAATTTTAGTAGCCTTCTATATGTTTTAATGTTAGTTTTGATTGCATTT